GCCTAGTAATTTTTTTGATTGCCATTATTTCGCGGCAGGGGTGGGGGGGGATCCGAAAGATTGACATTCACAAGGGTGGCGAGTTATGTAAGACCATCTGCTACGTGATTATTTACAGACCCAAATGAAAAAATTAGGAACAAATCCCGATTGCTGATACATAGGTGGAATACTGAGGGTAAATCACCAGTAGCATTCAAATAATTTTATTTTTCTATTTACCATTCTGTTTTTTGTAATTTCAGCTTCATATTATTCATGTTCTATTTCATATTATTTATTGTAATTTTTAATTATTGTAATTTTGTGATCGCGTGGAAATCATAACAACTCTTCATTTACAGCTTGCTTGTTATCCGAAACTGCTTTACAGGGAAGTCAGCGGTGACTGGATCATATCGAAATTCGAGACAACACCTCGGATGTCTTCCTATTTGTTGGCTGTGGTTGTTTCAGAATTTGATTACATCGAAGGATTCACCAAAACAGGTGTTCGGGTGAGTTTTTTTTTTCATTGCCTTCAGTACCTTGTATGAACTGGTTACATTTAGTTCCGAATATGGTCACGACCAGAGGCAATGAATATGACAGGATATGCAAGGGATGCCGGCATAAGATGTTTGGAATTCTACGAAAAGTTTTTCGACATCAAATTTCCTCTCAAAAAGCAAGGTTCGAATTTTGCTCATGGTACAATACAGTCTACAAGGAGGGTCAGTGAGCTTCTGTGAGCATATTTTCCAAGCTTCTAATTTTAGATATGGTTGCTCTTCCTGATTTCTCCGCTGGTGCCATGGAAAATTGGGGTCTTATCACTTACAGGTGCTTTTTACATTTAGTTTAGTCAGAATTATCTAGTCGCGATTTTGAAGCGAATGACAGAGAGAGCATGATTGGGAACTTGAAAAATTGAAATTAGTAGGGAAGGGTCTGTAGCAAGTCAATAGGTGAGCGAGGCTTCTTTAGGGGATGGCATTTTTAAAATTTCTAAGGTTCTACTATGGCAAAGTCTTATATCTAGGAGGTTGCTGGGCGTACCGTAAACCAGTGGCAAACCTGGGCGTCAGCTGCCAACCATCATATGTACGTTGCAAGCATGGTAGCACGATGAACCGAACGAACATTCCTCAGATGTGAACTATTGCCGTCAATAAGTGATTAGAATGCGAGGAATAAAGACGAGCTCCTTCCTTGCTCAACAAACTGTTGTTTCCATTGAGGAGCTAAGTAACCCACGAGCTTGTTCAGGGTTCAAATCCAGCATCGATACTCGCTCGGCCCACCAAGCTTNCCCCCCCCCCCCCCCCTCTGTGAGGACGGACAATTGTTACCAGAGTCCTTTGGGAGAATAAAGGCACTGACCTGTGCATGGGCTGCAAGTCATTATATAAGCCACATGCGCACTTCAAAATCCCTATGATTTTGAACTGAAGACGATTGCGGGGGTTGAAGGATGAAGCCTCTGGCCCTCACCAATCCCAAAATGGGATTGGTGAGGGCCAGAGGCTTTTTTCTTTTCTCTTTAACATATATGCGGGAAGGATTCTTCTAATCAAAACGCTTTTCAGAGAAAACCAATTACTGTATGATGATAGATACTATGGACCGATCAACAAGCAGCGGGTTGCCCTTGTTGTTGCTCATGAACTTGCCCACCAGGTTTGTCGTTTTCACTTTTTGTATTTGTTATCTACCAGCGATCAGTATTGAGAGCAGAGGACAACTCAGAAGTACCGAATTTTGACACCGGTTACTCCTTGCCTAACCTTTCGTCCATCCCCTAGATCCAGAGAAAGATTTTCGAACAAGGAAACCAGTCCGGTAGACGGGACCATACCAGTCCGATTTTATTGCCGAGAGCCATATTCATCCTTTTTCGTGGATCGGCCAGTGAAAAGAAAGCCAGTGACGCTAACTAAAAAGTTTTCCACTGTTACGCTTAGGTTGGGCCCAGTCGGGTTACCACTTAATGGCTCTCTCTGGAAGTCGGTTTCGTTAGAACATTCCTTTCCACACATATATTGAAATGAAAGGTCAAGGTTTTGATAGTGGGTAACAGGTTGGGTTAACATTTCCTATATCATCAAATCGTTATTCCAGTGGTTTGGCAATCTGGTCACGCTGAAATGGTGGGACGATACGTGGCTAAACGAAGGCTTTGCAACCTTTGTGGAATACATTGGAACAGATGTAATTAGCGATAAAAACTTCAGAATGGTAAGATATGATAACCAGCTGTAGATCTGACCTTAGATATTTAGCCTCGTTTCAGGACGACTTTTTCCTACCGGATGCACTTGCAATCGGCTTGGATGCTGATGCGGTATCATCAACCCATCCGCTTTCGTTTAGAGTTGATAAAGCTGCAGAAGTTGCTGAAGCATTTGACGAAATTACCTACGCCAAGGGAGCATCCGTTTTGGTAATGCTACAGGCTGTAATTGGCGAGAAAAACTACAAGCAAGCTGTAACGGTGAGACCCCATGCTGTTTTATTACTTTATATTCGTATTTTTGTGTAATTTGGTATAAGCCTTAACCTCGCTGGATTCCCTGAACAAGGACCAGACTTTCGGCTCAAAAGTGTACTTTTAGCAATACCTGAAGAAGTTTTCGTACAGCAACGCCCAAGCTTCTGATCTCTGGGACGTTTTTGACGAAGTTGTCAAGGACGTCAAAGGTCCAGACGGTAATCTCATGAAAACGACCGAATTTGCATCACAATGGACTACTCAGGTCAGTTCTAGATAACTATTTCAGAAGTTCTGCCTACAAGGCTTAGGAATTCTGTGACATTTGGGACCAGATCCAAGGTCAAGCATTTGTGGGACTCATTTCGAGTCTATCACAAAATCCCAAATAGCGAACAAAGGAGAAAAAGGACCAGCCTCTCAGCATTGCTTGACGCCTTTGACATCGCTAATGCATTTTGTTCTTTTGTCTGGAACAACCATTGTCCAGATCCAGTTTGAAGATAGCGAAGTAGTACAGGGCACTTTTACAGCTAAGTATCAAGGGGCTATGTAAATGGGGAGAAGTCGTCATACGAGGAAGCAACTAGCCTGAAAATCAAAAAAAAAATCATAGGAACTCTGCAACAACAACTGTAAATGTGGTCCAGTTACAACTTTTACTGAAGTCCCGGAGAGTTTTTGCTCTAACTTTTTCAGTTGGGATTTCCTCTGGTCACTGTGAAAGCTATCAATGCAACTTCTTTGCAAATAACACAAACTCGGTATAAGACGAACAAAGACGCCCTGGAGCCGGAGAAATACCGTCATCCAAAATACGGGTTAGCCATTATTTTCTCTTACAATTTTCATCGAATTTGACAGATTTTACAGATTCAAGTGGGACATTCCTCTGTGGTATCAGGAAGGCGATAACAAAGATATAAAGTTAGCATGGTTGACCAGAGGTAAGAAGTATTTCTCTCTCTCTCCATGGTGACGTCTCATATCCTTTTTTATGCCACACTATGGCGACCTCTGTCTCCAAGGGGTGAAATTAGGGTAGGCATTCAGTCCAGGAGGGGGTCTTATACGCGAACAACGTGTCACCTTCGCTACCCTCGCCATGAGTTTTTGTGCGCAGTTTAGGGATAAGCTTGAAGTTCATGGTTCATACTAAGGTATTCGCCGCGAGCTGCGTGCATGTTTGTGGCCGTGGGAATTTGGGTACAAAGTCTACCATGAAATTTTGAAGAAGCTATGAAAATGCTCAGTTCTATGAGCGTTCAATTTCAATGAAATAACTTTCTCTTATTGTAGTATAGAGTAACTCACATTCCAGAAGAACCGCTCTATTTGCACGTGAGCAACCCTGACACTTCCATTGTCGTGAACGCGGATCGCCATGGATTTTATCGACAGAACTATGATGCTAATGGTTGGCGAAAGATCACCAAACAGCTCAAGGAAAATCATAAGGTGTGTAACGACCATACAGATGTCTGAGGTCATTGTTGCAATAGCACAACCAAGCCGTCCTTGGATCAGTTGTAGCTAGAAACCAATGTGGCAAGCCAGACCTGTCATCGCCAGATTTAAGGTTTTCAAACCTGTTTACCAAGAAGTCCTTGAAGCTGGCGATAGCAAAAACCTTCATGGGTTACATGCTGGGGGCTCATGTTGCTGGATTCTAATGATTTTCGCCATTAGAGCCAAGAATGGCGGTAATGAGGATTATGCTTTACTGTTTTCATTCTCCAGCTGCATATCTTATCTCACACTCGACCTTGTCCAACAAGGCATTCTGCCAGAGAAAGCTTTTCTGGGCTGTACCCATCCCCTCCACCTCTATGTATCTTTTACCCTTCTACCTCGGGATTATGTCCTCTCACAATGTCCAAAAACCTAATTAGAATATTCATTCAGGCATACAGTACTAGGACGAGAAATGCGATTATAGGCGATGCATTTGCAGCGGCTCTAATTGACGAACTTGAGTATGAAACTGTATTTGAACTGCTTGAATACGCCAAAAATGAAGAGGTTTTTCTCAAATCTTGATTGAATGTTTTCAATGCAGTCTTCACCTGCGTATATATCGGCTTTTCCAGGAATACTTGCCATGGACAGAGACAATATCTGGTTTTTATGCCATCTTAGACTTCTTCGGAAATGAGCCGGAGTCGACATCGGCTAAGGTGAGCTCATTGGGTCGATGTAAATCGTGGGAAGCTCTTGATCAGCATTGAAGATTTAGGCTTTCATGATGAATATATTGAAGCCGATGTATGAGAAAACCAATATGACATATATCGCTGACAACTACAAAAACGATTCGCTATTCTTTGAAATGTATGTCTGAATATAGCCAATTATCAACCTTTACCGCTGAATACCAATAGGATTGAATACTGTAACTGAAGAACTGAGCCATCTTTTGCATTTTTTCCCTCAACCAAGTATCGAATGAAGCAAAAGGATGGGAGTAGAGGAGACAGTAAACTGAAGATCTTGTTGTTCAGAAGGTCTACTAACGGGCATGCTCGAAAAATATGGAACTGCTTTGAATGATCATCCCAATCAGTCAAACATGGTTCCCCGCTAGCCGACATGACCGTTTCTATGCTGCAGATCCAAAGTTTGGGTGACCCATATGATAAAACCACGGACCTCAAAATCTTACTGATTTCGCTCCCAGCGAGTCATTAGTTATTAGCATAATGCCTTCAACAAAGGCAATCTCAAGTAAGCATCTTATAGACCAAGCTAATCTCTTAGATTAGGATTTGTAAAAAACTGCAGTACTTCCATCATCTGTCCCGTTGATCATCGATTTGCTCCAGGAACAGGGACGAACGGGGACGCTTTAATGACGTCCCCGTTCGTCCCTGTCGCGAGCCGGAGTAGTCCAGTGGGTCGTCCTTGCTCAACTGACTGGGGTGGGATCCGTTCAGTGAAGTTCCAGTCCGATGATCATGATAAAGTCCTCTCCTCCTCATTTCTAACTTGATGATTAACATTTACCTAGGCGATTAATTCCCATTCTAACCTCCAAGCAGTCATCGAAAACCATCAATATTACTATTTTTTAGGAATCTCCAAAAATCTGTTATCAATGCCTATTGCTTCCTTGGATCCAAAGATTGTATCAAAAAATACACAGATTTGTTCTTCGAAGAGGTTATGAAGAAATGTAGAGACGATGACGAAGCAAGCAAATGTGTCAGGTATAAGCCTTTTCACTAATTCGTTTGGCTAAAAAAAATCGTTTTTCTTATAATCCACGAGAGAACAAGGCAGAGATGAGATGGTAGCAAATGAAAGAAATGCTGGACACGATTTCTGCCTTATCTTCTTCACCATTTACGAATAAGGCGAATACATTTTGGTGTAAGAAATCATTACTAAATCTTTCAGCATCGCTGCCCCTCTTCGAGCGAAAGCCTACTGCTATGGCGTGAAAGAAGGCGGAGACGTTGCTTTCGATAAGGTTGTTTTGATACTCCAATACAGTATACTTAGACATAGATGAGATCAAAAGGTAATAGCTGGTTATCGACGATATCCTAAGTGAGTCATGAGTTTGGTGTGATGCAGATGGAGCGACCGGGAGCGACCTTTTTGTTGGAATCCCTGATTAGGTAGATATGTTGAGATGGCGAGAAAGAATCTTTACAATGCATTTTGGCATCAAACGCCAGTAATGCTTCTTTTTCTTTTCTAGCTTCTTTTTTTTGAATTTGTAACACGGATTTGATTAGATCGCAGTGGAACATTCATTGAGATTTAATGATCCTGTCAGTTCGTCGTATTTGGCTGATAATAAAGAGGGTCATCCGTCCGACGATGACTAATCAGACGCTCTACGACGGTTTTCAAGAGTAGTGAGGTAGTGAAATGACGGGGGTGGGGTGGGGTCACTGGCTCTAACCGATCCGGCCACTTATTTCCTTCTTGAATCCGTGAGGAAGAGCCATTCTGAGAGGTCTTCGGAGCTGTGTATCAAACATACCCGCAGCTCACCCCTCGCCAACTGTCTACATTAATATGACCAGCAGGACGAGTGTTATTTCAGAAATCCAACTGTATTCCACTCATGGGGTAGTTACGTTCACTCCAATGTCGAAACAGTAGCCCATGAAATGATTAAAATCTACTATCTTCAGGTAATGAAATTATACTATGCAGAAAATGTTCAATTGGAAAAAGACGTGCTACTTCAAGGATTAGGATGTCACAAAGATATTACAGCATTGAAGAGGTAACGACATCTTGCTATTTAACCAGTTGCCATCCAGGCTCTCACGCGCGGAAGATTCTGCAAATTGAGTGCTTGAAGCCGTCCTTCAGTTGGTGCTCAGTAATGGCCTCGAAATAGGATCTGCTGCTCATCTTGGAAAGTGCTCACCCCTTTCTATTCCCATCTCTCCAGAATTTTCAATAGTTTCATACCCAAACAAAGGTCTGCTGCTAAGAACACACACAGCTCTTGCCCACGAAGGTCCGATCGATAAGATAGGAAGTCTTTCGAAAGATTGTAAAAGTGCAGCACACTGGAGTAGTATCATGATTCTTATGACGCCCTTGTTTATTCAAAAAATTTTAGGCTTCTTCTCCTAGCTCTGGATCGAAATTCCTCATTTGTTCGACTTCAAGACGTGACTGATGTTTACGACGCTGTATCATCGAATCCCGTTGGCAAAGAATTCATGTTCAACTTCCTCCTTGAGAGATGGGAAGAAATCCTTGAAAGGTATACTAGCTATTCTTCTTTGCACTACGGAAGAATTGTTTGCGGGTTTGCTGCTGAAGAAGTGTCCTACGTTTCTCTTTTAGCTTGACAACGGAGCACCGAGCTGTTGAACGAGTGATCGAAGCGTGTACTGCAGGTATTCGATCGGAGCAGCAAATAGATCAGGTTAAATTTTATATCAGAACACTCTTGGCCTTTACTTTTGAAAGTGTAATGAATAGTTTCTCAAGTGAGACATTGACTGGCAAAACAACTAATTAATATAACCTTCGAAGTCGGCGTAGAGACCTGCGGGACGGCTAGCTATGAGTCGTAGAGCCTGTAGATGAATCGGAACCATCGCTGAGAACATCAGCAGTAATAGAATTACGAGGACGTGGAATCGTGACAATTATTATGACTGTACTGTATGGTCATCGTCTCAACTATGAGACACAAGTATAACACTTCCCAGCTCAGAGACTGGGGCACTGTATTGTCAATGGAGCGGGTTAAGGCGTTGGCCTTCTAGGTTCTGATATTTTTTCAGGCCCATGCAACATAAGTTTCTCGGAGCTGAGGGATAGGAAAGTGTGTGTGAAGGGTCTGAGCCCACGGTATGGGAACGGTATCTTTTATACATCAAAGTTCATGTATAGCACTACGTTTGGAGGCATTGCTCGAATGGTGAACTTGGCAAGGGCGTTACCCAGACAGCAGATTCTTTGTCGCGACGAGGGCGCGTAGATGAGCACGACTCCTCACCTGTGCTGCTGTTGTTGCTCTGTTAGGCGTCACTGCAGACCTTTTCGGCGCAACCCTCAACAAGGTGATTGCGGGAGCCTGCGGGACGAAGGCACTGCAAATGCTACCACTGCACAGAATAGCCTCCTCCCTCTTGCACCTGCGGAGCCTACTACCTCCATATGCCAGTATGCGCTTGTAAAGTCTTGAGGAATATCATAATACGTTGTTTTCATAGATATTATAATACGTGAGATTGTGACCCAAAGAGTAGGTGATATGTAAGGGTCTTGGCAATTGACTACTAGCAAGAAAACAAAGTATAAAGATTAGTATGTTTATCTTCACAAACAAATAAACATAGTTAAAAAACCTACGGACCGCACGCACGAACCGTGTGATTTAGCAGCCCCGATTTCCCTCGCTGAAGTTCTTCGATGCATACATCCTCCACGAGCTGCAATGACCATGACTGGTGGAATCTGGGTAAGTGCACATTCGTGCGATTCCAACCCGCGCGCGGCAAATTGCAACGACTCTGGGGCCTATTATTAGGGCACAAACTTGAAATAGAACAGTCAAGTAGAGACAGTTGACACAGTTAAACTCCTCAACATGAAATTTGGGCCCCAATAATGGGCGCTAAAACCGTCAAAATCGTTATGAATTTCGCCGCGCAATTTGCCGCGCGCAGCTCGAATCGCACGAATGTACCGTCCCCCGTGGAAACTGCGCGTCGGATTATGCGCATGCGGCCCGGTGACAGCCCTTGCGTTGAAAGAACTCGTGGGCTTCATGAAATGCATTAGAACTTCCTATTCCGAGCTTGCCATACTGTTTGAGCAGAGATAATTAATGTTAATAAAACTACGAAGAGAAATTCCACGATGTCACTCAAGTGGCACTCTACAATCGGGTGTATTCCCCACCGGACCGCTTTCCTTTTTTCCTTTCTATTAATTTATTTTCGTATATTTTCTTGAGAAGGACAATATTTTAAAGATCGTTTTTCTCCTTAAAAACTTCTTAATATACTTTTAATGAAATTCGTAGAATGTCGTCGTTTTCCATTTCAGCTGAGGAGCCTTCAAAGAAAGGGTGCACATGCTCGAGAATATGGAGCATTCGACGAACAAATCGAACGAGCAGAACATAAAATCAATTGGATCAAGAAACATTTGCGGAAATTATCGGATTTCTTCGAAAAATCTACTTCTTGATTTTTTTTAACTTTCAATGATTCGTAGAAGCCAGCAAATAGTCTCCAGAACCGAATTTCTCCAGATGGCTCCTCAATTTGAAAGTGACAATCTCCTCCCGTTGCCCTTAAAATGTGATAGTTATTGAGTTGAAAACGCTCAATTTTCTTGCTCTGTGATCAGTCTTATTTCACTTAATCGGAACGCTTCAGTTCTCTCAAGGTATTCTCATCAGTTTGAACCATTATGACTTTTATCGGCGGCATATTCTTCTTCCTGATTGTTCATCGTCCTGAAAGCCTTCACTTCCGTCAGTGCAGAGCTTTTTCTCCTTACAGAACATTATTTGAGTTGTTTAGACTGTTTATATATGTTTGTTTATATAATAAAAATTTTTAGTTGATAGAGTCAAGCTTATCCTCAGCCTTGCTTTCGATCTTGCTCAAGCGAACGCCACTCACTTACCAGCAGCTTGGATCAGGACAACCCCTCTCTGATGGAAGTCTTGGAGAAAAAAGGCTCAGCGTAAACAACCTTTACAGAACGCAAGCCGTTTTCATACTGTAACTGTGCCGAGATTTTTGAATGAAGTCCAAGACAAAAAAGGCCGACATAAGCTTTTTTTCAGGGTGAGAGACATTCCAGTACGGTAGTTTTGTCGAAACTTCTGAATAAATGAAATCCGAGAGGTACTTTTATTGGCCCTCAGTTCTTGGAGAAAGAGTCCACCTCTCAGTCATGCTATCGAGGTCTCACTGAACGTGTTTGCTGCTGCCCTCTTTCCATATTTATTGAACCCTCGAGTCACGGTATCAGCTTTTTGTTGTTGTTCTGCTGGAAGGCTTGCTTAGTGCCAGGATTTCTGTCATTTGACAAATGAATTGCTGCATTTCTGCACGTTATTTTGCATCATCATTCCTATCCTTTATCAGCATCTTCCACGTAGGAGAGTAGTAATTCTTTAACAAGACGGATTATATCGTCCCGTGAATGTGCGACACAGTAACCCGAGTTGTCACCGGCGCGCGTTGTTTGCATTGGAGCGCGGGCAGTTGATACATTAAGCTTACTCTCTCGAGTACTTTCCACGCTTGGAGAAAGAAGCCAGATTTCCTTTGTTTGTTCTTTTGTTCGTTTCGTCGTGTTCGTTCATGTGATTCTTTTTGAGATTCTGTGATTCTTCTTGTGTTGATTTCTTTCTGATTATTTTGTGATTCTTGTGTAGTCAAGAAGGAGAATATACAAAGACAGCATGAAACCTAATG